ACATGAGCATTGTTGGCTGGGCCAGCATTTATTGCCCATCTCTAGTTGCCCTTGAGAGGGTGATAGCGAGATGCCTTCTTGAACCACTGCAGTCCATATGCAATAGTTACCTAATTATCTTATGATCACTATTAACAGATTCTCTTCCACTGAATCACACTTCACTTGCTCTACTGCATTCCCCAGGCTTTGATCCAGCACTATTTTCATCCTGAGAAAGCTCTCTTTTACACTGTTTACAAATTCTTTATCCTCCTTGACTTCCATAATGTTTCTCCTCCGTCTGTGTTTGGGTGATTGAAGTCCCATAAATTCACTGCTCTTTTACTTTTTGCCAAAATTTTCCCAAAGATTTGTTTCTCTATCTCTTTCTCACTATTTGGGGGTCTGTAGAAAAAGTCCAACAAAGTAATAGCTTTTTCCTTTTCCGCAGCTCTAACTAAATAGGTTCAATCTTTGAACTTTCTAGCAGATTGTGTTTCTGTAGATCTGCAGTATTATTCTTAACCCATATGGTCAAATCGCTCTTTTCTTCTCTCCTTCCTAATCCCTCCCGCATACATTTTATCCAGAAATATTTCGTTCTCACGATCCCCTTTTCTCATCCCAATGGATTCACCATGCCATAACTCCATGTCACATCTTGACTTTTTTTCTGGGGAAGTAATGGCCTAGTGGTATTATCGCTGGACTGTTAATCCGGTAGATCCAGGTAACATTCTGGGGACCCAGGTTCAAATCCCACCACTGCAGATGGTGGAATTTGAATTCAACAAAATATAGGGAATGAAAAATCTAATGATGACCACAAATCCATTGTCAATTGTCAGGGAAAAAAGACCCATCTGGTTCATTAATGTCCTTTAGGAAGAAAACTACCATCCTTACCTGGTCTGGCCTACATTGACAGATCGACAGCAATGTAGTTAACTCTGAACTGCCTTCTGGGCAATTACGGATGGGCAATAAATGCTGCCTAGCTAGCAACACCCTCTCCCTGTTAATGAATAAAGAAAGAAAGCTCCTCCTACTAACACACATGCATTCCAATACTATGTTAGTCACAAAATGGTTACAGCACATTGGGTCCATTGTAGCTCCCTAAAGAAGCAATTCATCTATCATTATTCCCCTACTTTGAATCTGCATGGCTAAGAGGACATTCTTTTCTGATAGCTAAATCTCTCTTCAACAATTTGACCGACTGTACCCCCAACACATCCTCACACAGTTCATTCCAGATCCTAACTATTCATTGCTTGAAGAAAGTTTACTACATGTCACCATTTGCTTTTTTTTTTAAACCAATTTCCTGAACTCTGTGCCCTCTGATGCTCAATCCATCTACTAATGAGAACAGTTTTTGCTTTTTCATTGTGTTGAGATACCTCATGGTTTTGAATAGATCTATTAAATCTCTTTGCAACCTTTTCTTCTCCCAGGAAAATAGCCACAAATTTCCTATATGTTTTCCTGATAGAAGCTCCTCATCCCTCGAGCCATTTTTATGAATCTTTCTGTATTCTGTGTAACACCCGCACATTTTTTGTAGGACGTGCTACCCAAAGTGGGAAGTAATTGAAAAGTTTTATGCAGGTCAATTGATTGTTTTTTCTTCCATCTAATCCTTGCTCTTTCTTATTCTTTATTCAATTAAAATTTGCCTATGTTTTCTATACAGCTCTAATATTGCAGCATGATTCCCCTCCCACTGCCAAATTACTTAAGCCCTACCTCACAGCACTGGTTAACCTCCCCATGAGATTACAGATCCCAGCCCTATTCAGGTGCAATACACATCCAGCTTGTACAGCTGCCTCAGAATTGGTCCCAAAGTCCCATGAATCTGAAACCATTCGCCTTAGAACAGTTTTCCAGCCATGCAATTATTTTTAAAATTCTTGTCAATATTTTTCTTTACCAGTGATTCCCTTTCACTGCACTTTATAAATATCATATACTGCACGTATCTTTTAGCTCTTCTAAATCATGCAATTTCTTCCAGACAGGTCAAATCATGTAAATAGTTAACACTGTGCTCATGTTTGGAATGACCTGCTGTTAAACTTGATGCATTCTTGGGGTTGTCGCTCTTACCTAAAGGATTTGTTCATTTTTCTAAATAACAGAAGTTACCCATGTGTGAAGGAAAGTGTTAACAAATCTACTATTAAAGAAAGCCTTCCATTGCTTGCTGAACAAATTTTGGCATTTTTACAGCGATCAGCTCTTTAGTTTATTGAGTCTCAATACGCAGATTAAAAAATATGGACTTATGTTTTGGTTGCTTCTAAAATCACATTTTCAGGCATCAAATATTTTAGAGCCATACATTTCTGCAATAATATTAGCAAGCTATTAATTACACTCAGAAATAGGCAGCTTCGTCAATTTCATTAGAAGTGGGAAAAGGCCCCCTAATCATGGTTTCTGTTAAAATAAATTTTGCTATTTTTAAAGTTGGCCAGCTCGATATTACTTCGGTATTCTCTCGCTCGCCTTGCTGTAACGCGATTTCACTTCTTGCTTGCATAATTGCTTTAAGCAGAGTCCCTGCATAGCCCTGAATCAACAGTGTACTGCTGTGCTGGAGTTAGCTGTTTGATTGTGCATACTTCCTTGAGTCAGATTGTCAATTTATAAATGCTGCTGTATATTAATAGAAACCATATGTTTACAGAGAAGGATATCAACAGCGTTTTTGAATTCAAATGGAAAATATCAGGTTTGAAGTTTAGAACTGATTCCCAGAATATTGTAAATTTCAACTAATTATATGGGTACTTGTGCAAGATCCCACTATATTGGCAGAATTTTATGCTTCTCAACTGGGGATTGAAGGCAGGAGGGAGTCCAACCCGGAATTATATGGTTTATCTATTCCTATTCCCATCACTCCCCTCCCTTTTGAAGAAATGAACATATGAACAAGGAACAAAATTAGGCCACTCAGCCCTTTGAGCCTGCTTTGCAATTCAGTAAGATCATGGCTGATTTGATTTTAGCCTCAGCTGTACATTCCTGGATATCCCCAATAATCTTTCATCCACTTGGTCATCATGAATATCTATCTCTGTTTTCAAAATATTTAAAGATCCCGCATCTACTGCCCTTTGAGAAGGGAAATTTCAAAAACTCTCAACTCCCTGAGAGAGAAAAAAATGCTTCCTTATTTTTGAATTAAAAGGGCAACTCCTTATTTTTAAATTATGACACCTAGTTCGAGATTCTTCAGCAAAGGGCAACATCATTTTGACATCCTCCCAGTCAAGTCCCCTCAGGATCTTATATGTTGCAAGTAAATCACCACTGACTTTCTAAAAGCTGGAGGATATAGGCCTAACCTGTCCAGCCAATCTTCATAAAGCAATCTGCTCATTCCAGATATCAGTCGAGTAAACCTTTTCTGAACTGCTTCCATAGCCTTAACAGCCTTCTGTATGTGCTGTGACCAGTGCTGTACACAATATTCCGGATGTGGTCTCAACAATACCCTGTATAGGCAGAGGCATAACCTCCCTACTCTTACGTTCAATTCCCCTAGCAATAAAACATAGCATTCTATTAGTTTCCCTGATTACTTGCTCCACCTGCATACTAACCTTCTGTGATTCATGTGCTAGGATCCCTAGATCTCTCTACAATCCAGAGCTGTGCAACCTCTCACCATTTCAATAATATTCCTCAATTTCACTCTATCTGCCAAAATCGACAACTTTACACTTTCTCATCATATACTCCATTTCCCAGACCTTTTCCCACTCATGTAACCTATCTATATCTCTTTGTAGACTCCTATATCCTCGATACAACTTCCTTTCTTACCTACCTTTGCGTCATTGGCAAAATTAGCTGCCATACTTCCAATCCCTTCATCCAAATCATTTATATAAATTATAAAGAATTGAGTCCCCAGCATTGAAACTTGTGGCACACCACATTTGATATCCTTGCAGCTTGAAAAAAGCCCATGTATTTATACTGTCTGCCTCCTGTCAGCCAGCCAATCATCGATCCGCACCAATGTGTTACCCCAACACCATGAGCTTTTATTTGTGATCATAATCGTTGATGTGGCACCTTACCAAATGCCTTCTGGAAATCTATGTACAATGCATCCACTGGTTCCCCTTTATCCACAGCAGAAGTTACTTCTTTGAAGCCATGTTGGTTCTGCCTGATCCATCTTGAACTTATCCAAGTACCCTGTTATAATGTCTTTAATAATAGCTTCAAACATTTTCAATTATGAAAGATCAAGGTTAAACTACTGTGAAAATCTCTTACCTTCAGCATTATGGTCCAACTGTTGGTTGTAGCTAGATTCTTGTTCTGAGCCTTAATATCTGCCTGTGCAAACCATCTACATGTCTGGTGTGAGCCCCTTATAATTTTTTTCATGTGCTCCCACCAAAAATGTCATGGACAGTAGAAAATATAAGTTTTAAATGCTTCTTCACTACTTTAAAAAAATGAAGATCGGCTCCTGATTTCAGTGACCATTCTACCTCTGCATTATCAGAGACCTCTATGATGTTGAGTCAGCAACCCAACATGTCTGAGATTGCAGCAGTCCTGACTTCAAAATATAACACATACACTATGTATTTGTATTAAAGAACCATCTGTACTGTCATAAAGTTGTTGTTTTGCCTTAGTAATAGTCCTGTCCCAATTTAAATACTGGCTTTAGAAAAAGCTAATATTATTGCCTGTGATAATGCATTTCTTTCCAGAGGAGAGGTTCTCGAGGTCAAGCTCACATCAGTTGTGTTTTCTTCTCTGTTGAAGTAGAATTGGAGAGTATTGCAATCAACTAATGAATAAGGAGAAAAATACAAAATTCCCATTCAAGAACCATCCTGGATAGATATGGACTTTGGCTGTGAGTAGGATTTCATCACGTTATGCAGCTTTCTATTACTAGGCCAGCTTACAAGAGAAGAATGGTCACTTGCATGTAGTTTCAGGATTCCAACATCTGTGGAACTATAATGGAATAAAAGTCAGTGTTTTGCAGAGAAGCAATGAATGATGAGCAGATGGAATTTTTAAAAAGAGGACCTGCATAATTTTAAAAATGACATCATTTCATGAGCTGTTTTGCTTACTGCCGAAATTATTTAGTGCTGTAAAAATAAAGGATAACTTGGTGTGATGCAACCTTTGTGAACACACAGAGGATCTTAAATAACACTTAAAACAATGTCACATCCAGAACCAAGAAACTGTTTAATGTTTGCAAAGCTTATGTGCTTTTTAAGTGCAGAGATAAAAAAAAGTGTGTATATTTGCAGGTAGCTGCTTGAATGACATATGCAATTTGTCGCATAAATATAGTATTACATTACGACATAGGGATTATTCCATGGTTCTTAATGTACAAAGAATGTTCAGAGCTTGCAGCATTAAGAGCTATTCAGAGTAAGTGGAAAGTACAGAAGCTTTGTTGTGTAGGAGTGCAACATCTAATTTGTGGTCTATTTACTAACTTCATTGTTCTGCATATGTTGTTTACACTACAGGAAAATAATTTAAATGCACAAGTAGATTAAGTGGTCTCTGCATGGCTTAATACGGCACAGGACAATCTGGTGTAGCATTAGTTGTAAGTGAACTAATTCTTCAAATTATTCAGCCGCACATTTCGGCAGCATTGTAAAGTTCTAGGAAATGTCAGGGAATAACCAGAGCATTAGCAACTCAAAGTTATTGGTTCAGATCTCATTTTCTACTATTGCTGGCATGAAACTCATTTTGTGCACTTTCTGTTGCTTTTTTTAATAAATCAAGTGATTTCAAATAGACATGTATTGGTTTGCATCAGGCCAAAAGTAGTCCTTGACTATGTCCACTTTTATTAAAATAATCAAATTAAATTAATTAATTAAAACAAAATATGTACAAAATTGAAATAAGGTGATCTTGCAGGTAATACAAAATGAACTTCCGTGCATCTGTGAACTGGTTCTGCTTTTCTTCAAAGTTGCTATGTTCTCTTTGACAGCTGCACCAGTAGGGTTTTTTTGTTCACTTTATCCTGAAAGGTGTCATTGATTATATCTTTGACATTCAGTAATATTTCTATACAGCTTCCTAGTCATGTCTGAATCACTCGACCAAACAATATATTAATGTAAAACAAGGATATGATTTTATTTGTAATGATCTTTATTGATATGATATTCACTCCCATTATGCCATAATGAAGTTTACTCTCTTCAGTACAAGTGCATTTGTTGTGTGATCTCAAGTTCATGAGATCATTGACTTCTTAATTTAGTACTGTCAATAGGCACTGTGCCTTATTGAATTGGCCACCATTTATATACGTAAGTTGTGATGGTGAATGCTTTCTTAATGCAAAGACATTCCTCTCACTACAGCATTGTAACAAATTTTACAATACTTCCATTTCATCCCGTCCTGGGTGCTGTTCCAAAGGGAAATAACATGATATTAGGTAGCCTCCTCAGAGCACGTTGAAGTTTGCAAAAATGTGGTTCCCTTTCCTCCTCTGGTTATGTTTTAGGACTTCAATGTCTTTCTATTTATGGACCATGCATTGATGTATGAGTAATGTTTCTGAAGGAATTAATGTTCATGTTACATTAGCTCAACTCATTCTTCTGATGTCACATGCAGTCTGTGGTGAAGACAAACAATTTTACTCTAGCTTTTGGAAGGAGCAGATGTACCCATACCTGAGCACCGTAAGGTCCTAGCAACTATGCTTGACAAAGCATATTTGTATTTATTGCTGTCAGCTTTTTGTGATGGTGTATTGTCTACCACGAATCACTAGATAAGCCCAGGACATCGGAGGAATAGTGGCAGAAAACTACTTCAAACAATCCTCACCCTATAGCACATATTAATAGAAATAGTAAATGCCACAATATGCCAGGAATGGTCATCTGGGAAAGTTTCACATCCTACTAGTGTATTTTTTTCAGCTTGCCTGCTTAGTCTTTCCATTCAGTGTTCAACACAGTCCATAATGCCTCTAATTATATTTTTAAAAATCAGCAGCAAGTTGCTTTGTTTCAGGATTTATTTTCAGTAGGAGTTTTGCATGATGCTTAAACTTGTACCATTCAACATTGCTGCAACAGTAAAATTACATTTGGCAGCAGGAAGACAGTGCAACAAATTTAAACATAAATGCAAATCTGACTAGTTCCTGGTCAGCACAAGCATAATTGTGCTTAATCAGTTTGGTTTTGATTAATTGAAAAAGACTTTGAATATAATAAAAAAAAACTGCACTGTGCTTATTTTGGAGGAGGAAGGCATACATTTCATAACAGCAATTATAATTATAAACAGATTATCTTTGCCATTTCATCAATTAGGCCTTAACAAGCAAGCTCCATGCTGAAGGTGGGAGCAGGGCTGATTAAAGCATGATGTATTGCACTCAAATTGGAACTGAGGCAAGGCTGATTGAAATTCAGGGCAATGCATACATCCAGTATGATGGAGTCAAATATGGAATTGATTAAAAGTAAAAGTAAAACCCCTAAAGTTCTGAGTTGTGAAAGCTGTAAAGAGGGTCTGACTGCTGCCTATAGTTCCCCAAAAACTGCCTTACCTTCCCGACCAAGAACTTTATAAACTTGCTGGATGAGCTAAAGTCTATGTCCAATAATTGGTGCATGAGAGGCTCGGAAAATGCATTTGGGAGGAGGCAGGGTTGGGTGAAACAAGTACTTCTGAATGCACAACTGAAATATATATTAAAGCTGGACTGCTGGTCAAGCTAAATTACACATAGCAAAATTAAGGTAAGGTTCCAATAGGAACAAATAAGAAAAGTCAGTAAATTTTTCAAAGAGTGATAAAATGTTGTTCTGACTGAAATTTGATAATTGAGCATTAATATAATGGAAGCATGCAGCAGAAAACTTCAGACATAAGAGACAGGAGCATGAGGAAAGAGGTCGTCCAGATGGTTGCTGTATAGGCTGCCAGCTCTCATGACCATGAAACCTTTGTTAATTGTCAGAAAAACCCATTTAGAGAAGAAAACTGCCATACTTACCTGTTGTGGCCTATATGTGGCTCTTAGCATTGGTCCTGATGTCAAGTTAGGCCTTGCCTGACTTCTTGAATGATTCTGTCCCATTTCTCCCCCAGCCCACTCTCCTTCGAGATCCTAAACTATTGTCCCCATAAGTCTGTATGACATCATTATAGTTGGTGATCCTTATGGCATGCCTCAGTATTAACCCTTTCAGACCCATGTGCAACAGTAATAAATGGTGCTTCCCTTCTATCAATAGTGAAAGTTTGTTGGTAATTGCTACTTGTGGAATTATGCTGTTCTCTGTGTGGCTGCTTCTAACATTCTGCTACACTTCAGAAATACACTATTGGCTTAAAACGCTTTGGCATCCTGATATTGTGAAAGTGATTACAAAGAAACAAGTCTTTCTCCTGACTTATTGACAAAGTTAACAAAGTCCGATGGCAGTAAGCTACTATTTTTATATATACACATATTAAATGTTATAGGCTCAAGACAGTATTAATCATGCAATTTTAATAATAAATGGTGAATCAAATGCAGTCCATACATTCCTTCTTGAGAAATAATGTCACCTTAGGAGCACAGTATAGTGCATTGCATCTCCTTTGAAGGATCATTTTTACTCTCAAAACATTGTAACAGAAATTGCATGGGATGTCCAATAGTCATAAAGTAAACTGGTCTGTGCCCAAACATTACTAACATTCTGTTCTCATGCAGAATGTAAAACATACCAAATTTACAGGAACAACAAGATACAGAAGGAGGCACAATAGACATTTGTCCATTAACCTCGCAGGAGCAGGAGACAATTAAGTTGTGAAGAACTCACTTAACAAAAGCAATAGGAGAAAGAAGACTTGGATGATCTGGCATCTTCATTTGGTAAGCTTAGAAAAATTGCTGATTGCATGATTAATACTGTTTGGGGTGTGTAAGGTTTACTATTGCGTATATATAAAAATAGTTGCTTACTGCCACCAGCCGGAAATGAGATCCACCTCTGTTGCAAGGGGCTTATAATGTTAAAACCCAACTGTCTAAATATCAAACCTTAGACCTCAGAAGGTAAATAAAAGAAATGTTAGACAAAGAAAAAATTGACAATGAAGGGCAAGCAGCAGGTCGAGGTTTGAACAAGTTAAAATTTGTGTGGGGGCGGCTGTTTGAGATACTCGTGATGATATTCAAAATATCAAATTTTGAGGTATTAAACTCGTGGTTAATGGTTTAGGTGAGGTTAGGAATGGAGCACATGGGGAATAGGAGCAGGAGTAGACATTTCGGCCTGTCAAACGCAGCATGGCTGATCATTTATCTCTACACCGTGTTTCTCCAATATCGACATATCCCTTGATGAGTTGAAGCCAGGGTACTGATAGAACAAAGTATACAAAATATAGCCAGTTAAAACACATAGCAAGTGGGGACCTTTACAAATGCATCGTCATGTGATTTGATGGAGTGAATGATGAACTGCAGTTTGCTTAAGTAATACCGTCTAATGTAGCTTTTGGAATCTATGATAATGAAGATTGGTAATTGTATTTTAATTGCTGCAAATGTATGCTTCTTTTTGAATGACATTATGGTGATGTCTGGGGAAATATTATTAAAAATAAGAAGCTACAAGTTGTTCTAAGTTGCACAGTAAATGCATATAAACTAAACTTTCATCAATCTTTTATGGCTTTGCATACAGAGAGTGAAAACCGTATGCTCCTTTTAAATTTTGAAGGTTAGTGTCAAATATGAGGTAGTAACTCATCCACCTGGTCAATGCTAGTCTTAACTTTGAGTCTAAATAGGGAACAGCATTTAATGGATTGCTGTTTTGATATTGTGCATTTTACATTACTTTTCAAAGTCTCAAATTTCCACCCAAATACAGAGAACAGGTTAAATGGACTCAGAGGACAGGAAATAATCAGGACTGGTGGATAGCTATAATACAGTTTCTATTTTAAAGTAATTAATCCTTATGTCCATTATTTAATATTTCCATTATAAATCCTCATGATCACATTTAAAATGTCTATGTCAACTTATCTTGTGGTAAGTGTTATCACCAGTGTTGGCACCGCAGTACCTGATTTCAGGGGAAATGGTGCATACAGCATAGTAAGTTGACATAGGCAGTTACCATTACAAAAGGGGCAAGAGTGCTTATAATTTAAAAAAAATGCCAGTGTGTCTGTACAGACTGCAAAAATCTGGCACATACTAGTTTCTAAATTTTAAGATTATTTAGTTTTTTAATTTGAAGCTCAAAGACAGGATGATAGCCAAACATCAACAAGTGATTACTGTGCAGAGTTTTGGCAAGTAAACTGGGCATAAACAAATTATGTTGAACTAAAATTATGGGATTCTGAAGTTGCTCATTGTAAGATCTGTTGATTTTACATTCCCGTTAATACCAAAAGATTGGCAATTTAGTGAAATTAGTGAAATAATCTGAAAGCTGAGTCAAGTGAAACCTATCTTGACTTTGGGACATTGGGACAAATCAGCTTAAAGAGGTTAAAAACCTCTGAAAACCAATACTTTACTAGAAATAAAACAACACCAACAACAACTCATTCCTTACTAGCAAAATGACTCAAAATATTTCACAGATGTGTTGAGGAACAGCATATAGATCAAGTTGATAGACTTTAGGAGGGGTACCTAAAGCTTTAGGCATAAAGTTGGGTTCGAAGAAGATCTTGAATGGAGAAAAGCAGTGGGCAGCCTGTCAAAATATCTTAGTCATGTAGATAAGTGTTCTCATTCGTTCTATCAACATGTGATGCAAGCCTAGTTTGACAGCCAAGTTCTTCAGGATGCAACAAGATCCAGTCCTGATGGAACCAAAACTGAGAATCAGGAAGTACTATGGTATAGATAGTACTTGGCCAGCCCAGTCAGTAGTGGTGCTACCAAGCCATACCTGATAATGAACATTGAACTTCCTCCACCCACAGCATATTATGTACCCTTGGTATCCTCTGTCCCTCATCCAACTGGTGTTCAATGTGAGGAATATCAATTCATTAATTGGGTGAGGCCAGTCAATCGTGATCAGCAGAAATCACAAATCACAGAATTGTTGCAGAGCAGATGGAGCCATTTGGCCTATCATCTTTGCATTGGGTCTCTGAGAATTTTAACTTGGTGCCAATCCTCTGCCTTTTCCCTGTAAACCTACACATTGTTTCTAGCTTGGCCATGTCTGGAGTCAATTTGAAAATATCCCAAGACCATTTCCTTCTGATGCACCATAGAGGTTTACAAAATCATGAGGGGCATAGATAAGAGTCATCTCGCTAGGGTGGGGAGTTCAAGGCTAAGGGGTTTATTTTTAAGATGAGAGGAGAAAGTTTTAAAAAGGAAAAATGAGCATGTTTTTCATACAGAGAGTAGTTTGTGTGTGGAATGAACTGCCAGAGGAAGTGATGCATGCAGGTACAGTTACAACATTCAAAAGACATTTGGAGAAGTACACGAATAGGAAAGGTTTGAAGGGATACAGGCCAAATGCAGGCAAGTGGGACTAGTTTCATTAGAGAACACGGTTGGCATGGACTAGTTTGACCAAAGTGTCTGTTTCCTTACTGTATGGCTCTATAGATCTTTAACTCTGGTACTTACCATTTCTCAGTTTTAATACCACCAGGACCACTTGCCTTCAGACTTCATTGCATTCTTCAAATAAATCTTGTCAAAGGAGCTGAATTCCAGAGGTGAGGTGAGATGAGAAGAGAATAAATGGTTTGGACAGCAAGGCAGCATTTGATCAAGTATGGTACCACATAGCCCGCGTTGGGACTTGGCAAAAACTCTTCACTGGTTAGAGTCACGCCTACTGCACAGGAAGAGGGTTGTAGTTGTCGGAGGCCACTCATCTCAACCTGAGGCATTACTTCATCAGAACCCAGCCATCTTCACTGCTTCATCAACAACCTTCCTTTCATCATAAAGTCAGAGTTGGAGATGTTTACTGATGACTATAGAGTGTTCTATATTATTCACAACTCCTTTGATGCTGAAGTTGCCTGTGCTCACATCAAACAAGGCTTGGTCACCATCCAGGGGAAAGCAGCCCATTGCCTGAAATGTCATCCATCACATTAAAGAATAACTCCTCCACCTTTAGTGCACTGTGTTATAATTTAACCTAACTTCAGGATGTACTAGAGCAACTTATCAAGGCCCCTTTGTTGCAAAAGTGGTAGATATAGATGATCAAATTCTGACTTCTATTATCTGACTGTTATACCTGAGACGTTTTGCGGACTAAAATGTCTTTTAGAAAGTTGGAAACATGGACCTAAAATGGCTACAGTGGTTAACCCATGTGAAATAACGAAAGTTGTCTGCACTGAAATTGCTATTTTATGTAAAGCTATTGAAACCAGGCAACTGAGTCAGTTTCAATGAATTCATCTCTTCAGTTTTAATTTACACTTATGATAATGTTGAGAGATGGAAGACTCACCTGTCGGTTAGCCAGCTTGGAGAGACAATGGAGCTAGATTTAGAATTATACATTGAACTATATTTCAACAGTTAATTTTGAGCAGGAGAGCAGAAAGAATGAAAAATGGATTTTAAAACAAGATCTGGAAGTCTCTGTGCGCCTGCCTATTTCTCCCATCAACTTGGAATATGGTGCCTAGTGAAAAAGCAAATTGAGACACAGTGGCAACACAGTGGCTCAGTGGTTAGTAAGTTCGATTCCAATCTCGGGCGACTATCTGTGTGGAGTTTGCATGTTCTCTCCATGCTCCAGTTTCCTCCCACAGTCCAAAGATGTGCAGGTTAGGTGGATTGACCGTGCTAAATTGCCCATAGTGTCCAGGGTTGTGCAGTCTAGATGGATTAGCCGTGGGAAATGCAGATCTATAGGGATAGGGAAGGGAATGCATGTGGGTGGGATGCTCTTTGGAGGGTTGGTGTGGACTTGATGAGCCAAATGGCCTACTTATGCGCTGTAGGAATTCTGTGAGACAGCTATACACTTAGAACTCAAAGATACATACAGATTTCACCACTGCAGGGGTAACTGATTAAACAGCTATGGTCTCAGGTTATAATACCTCAATGATTCTGAGGTCATTAAAACTGCATGAATTTTATTCTCCCTATCTATACCAGACACTCAGAGATAGTAGGAACTGCCGATGCTGGAGAATCTGAGATAACAAGGTGTAGAGCTGGATGAACACAGCAGGTCAGGTAGCATCAGAGGAGCAGGAAAGCTGACGTTTCGGGTCTGACCCTTCTTCAGAAATATACCAGACACTCTCCCTTTTAAATGTATTATGTGTATTTGCGGGTGTGTTTTTGATGTTGTATCTTAATATTGTTTTTCTTTGGGCTACTGGGTGAAAGATTCCTCTTTCCCTGGCTCAAGATAATGTTCAGTATTTGACTCCTCATCAGGTCATACCACCTATTACAGCATCTTCCAAACCAATAACCTCTACAATCTAGAAGGACAATAGACAGGCAGTAGATGCATTGCAAATTTCCTTCAGCGTTCTGACGTCTTTCACTAATGTTTGGTAAAAACCCTGGCGCTCCATCCCTAATGGTGCTGTTAGTGTACCCATACAACACAGACTGCAGCGTTCCAAGAAGACGGCTCGGAATACCTCTCAAATGCAGTTAATGATGGAAGTTAAATGCTGTTCTTGCCAGCAATACCTGCATCCCAAGAATGAAGAAAAGAAAATGGGCCTTATCAACATTGATCTTGCTGTCTTCTTATAACTTGATTCTGATTCCCAGTGTTGCACAACATCTCACTCCTGTCTGCTAGTTACCACTGTCTAGCAGCATGCCCTCAGCTCTCGGTTCAGGCAGAACACTGATGAGGGTCAAGCAGATGAGAGTTAAAATTTCCCATGCTTTATGCTGTGAATTCTGGAGCATCTGTTATCTACCTCACCAACCTATAGATCGAGGGCACAGGCACGGGCAGTGACCCGTCAAGGAGGCAAATGATTAACTATCAACTACAAGATCTTGAAATGTTTGCAACAGAAGAAATACAGTTTTGCAGAAAGTTGGACAGAGTTGCAGAATTTGATCCCAGGAGTCTTGGCAAAAATCCAGAAATAGCATTAGAAAGGAATTTCACTTAATCAGCCAAGCTGAGACAGTGACATTGACATTCTGCCCACATGGCTGTTACATAGGGCAGCATGGAGGCTCAGTGTTCAGCGCAACTGCCTCACAATGCCAGGAATACAGGTTCGATTCTATTCCTGGGCCACTGCCTGTGAGGAGTTTGCACACTCTCTTCGTGTCTGCGTAGGTTTCCACTGGGTGCTCTGGTTTCCTCCCACAGTCCAAAGATGTGCAGGTTAGGTGAATTGGCCATGCTAAATTAGTGTCCAGGGATGTGCAGGTTAAGTGGATTAGCCAGGGAAAATGTAGGGTTACAGGGATGGGGTAGGGGGCTGGGTCAGGGTAGGCTGTTCTTTGGAGGGTTGTTGTGGACTCATTGGGCCAAATGGCCTGCTTCCACACTGCAGGAATTCTATGATTCAATCATGAATAGTGCCATGGGAGGTCTCGAGATACATGCTGCCAGCAGTTCCAGTCAGTGTAACATATATTTCTTGCAATATCATGAGGTCAAGCTTTTTCTGTTCTATACTTTAAAGAATTTTTTTTTGTTAAAATGTTTAAGAAATGGTATTCTGCTTTGACAGGAGAAAAGAATGGCAGTGAGTGAAAATAGACTTGACACCTGGACAGATGTAGCTTCAGCTGTTGAGAGTGCTATTAAACAGTGCTACGTGACTGCTTGAAGAACTGCAGCCAAAGTAGAACTACTTACAAGCCTGGATTATGCAATACACACTGAAAGGTAAATACTGCCTCAATGCTGAAATGTTTAGCAATATTCACAACGTTTTCAACAGCTGATAAAGATAAGAAATTGGGAGTTCAAATATTAAAATGTGGCAATACTGCTTGAGTTTGTATATTGTACTATCAACAGTGTTTCACAATTGCCCACATTCTGATACATTATTCCAAATCACCTACATATATTAAGAACCAAAACATACCCAGAATTGACCCTTGTGTTCACCACATCTTTGACCCTTCTGGAGTTGGAACATCTTTCATTTGCTCTTTATTTCCTGTGCGTCACCCAGTATTCCTTCCACGCCACTGCAGTTTCTCTTGTATCTGAAGTTGTGAGATGCCCTATCCAAAGCCTCCTGAAAGTCCACCTACTACTGCATTCCTCCTTTAGCATATACAATCTGTCACTTTGTCACTCTTATTAAATTTATTAAACAGGACCTGTCTTAAACACACCCAGGCTGTGTTTGAAAAATCAATATTCATCTAATGCTCACTGACTTCATTGCAACTTATGAATGTTATGGGTTAGTCTGTGGCTGATGTTGGACCAACTACTTTTTAATGTATAACACCATTTGTCCCATCAAGACCACTCTGCCTCCCAACAGTACAATCCAGTCTGTTTCACTCCGAGCTTATTCTTTACTGCCTTTGACAAGCTGTTCATACATTTTGCATTTTAAGTAAATTAAGAATAAATATTGACTGCTCCAAAGGCTGTAATGTAGTGATCTTTGCCGCTCATTCGCTCTCACATCGAACCTGCATTGCTAGCTTTTATAATTCTAAAGCCAGAATAGCAATTCAAACTATCTTATCTTTTCAAACATTTATCTTTTTTTTTTAAATGGCATCCTTTGTTTTGGAACATAATATCTTCAGAATTTCTTAAGCCTTATTCAAACACTCTAGCAGACTAAGTTATAAAAGCATATTTATTCAAAGAGTTTTCAGGGGAAATCTAGTGGGAGCTGAGGAGCAGGCTGGGGTACAAAAACAACAGCAAGGCATTTATTTGCATCTAGTCTGTTCCATGTTGAACATAGAGACCTTCTAATGTCGCTTCCTCTCAGAATTGGCAACAGTTGCCTCTCAGAGTTTTTCATATCTTCCAGAAGGCAAGCCAAGTTATAACTGAACTTAATTTCTTTAGTGCTGGCCTTTTTTTTATTCAAAAGCAAGCTATTTATTTAAATGTGTTATTTAATTTTAACATCTGTAATGATAAAACCTGAATTGATTCAACACTGAACATTTTTCTACAAAGTTATACATTTTTGACAGCACATTTCCCAGTCTTCTTATAATGATAGTATGTTTGTAATCTAGGATTTTTCTTCTCCTGGTCCTCCCCTCCCCAGAATTTGAGAAATTTAATTTGATGTCTTGTTTTACTGAGGCACTGCAATCTCCAACTTTATTCAGACACCGAGCCTGCTTTGATGGTATAGTTTCGACAATATAATATGCGCACACAAGTAATTGCAACAAAATAGTGTTTTTTTAAAAATAAAATTACATAAGTACAACATCAATGTGAATTAATTATTAACGTCTTTCACAAACAATTGTTTAAAAGAAGGAAAATTGCAGCCTGCAAAGTTCTACAAGGTCAGAATATTTCCACAGCAGACAGCAAGATAGAGTTATTCCCTGATAAACCTTTAGCCTGTCTCAATATGCTTTGAAATGGAAAATTGTGTAAAAGGACAAGCTCCACAACAGATAAGACTTGGCACATCCGGTGATAAGTTACACAGTAATAGGTCATTACACAATTATGGTGATGTTGACTGAAGTACTGGCCAAGGTCTGCTGATAAGTAATGTAATGTATCCCAATTCTATCACCATACCCTGTTCGGCTAGAATATTAATGAAAAAGCACTGCTAATTTATATTTCTTGTTTAACAAAGCAATAATTTATTTGTGTCAGTGTCTTATGTTTTGGTTGTTTCAGAAGTCGTCATGATATTGCAGCATTAATAGTTTAGCAGCTCCTAAGTGACAGTGAAAATAGCAATATTCACTTCTTGATTCATTCTCTGTCTGTTTTGATTTGTGACTTGGGAATGCTTTCAGTCTCTGCTGCTTAATTGGAAAAAAAAGAAACAGGAAACTTGCCCATGTTAAAAAACAGTTTGTTAATTTAAGTTTGTAAATGGAGAGAATTGCAGGTTAATGTCAACAGCAACAAGTGACTTATATTTATGTACTAGTAAAACATCCAGGGAACTTCATAAGAGAATCATCAAACAAACTTGAGGAAGAGCTTTAAATGAACCAAATGCCAAACTGTCAAATCAAATAGGAGAGTGAATTATAACATTGGAACGTATTTTGGGCTGAACCACTAAAAACTGGCTCAGTATCAGTTTCAGCGGGGTTCATGGAGGGTTTCTCTTCATGACCTCCAGCGAGTTACCTCATGAAATTATCTGCTGCTCACCACATTATGTATGCGCCGTTCCTCTCTGGCCCTTCTGCCATTATGCACTCACCAGTGGCTGCCAGGACCATCTGTGATTTCTGCTGCTGGTGCCAGTTTAGGACCCAGCTGTGCAGTAGGCCAATCATTGCCAGCCACATACTGCCCTTCACAGGATATGTCATGGGAGCAAAACAAGAAAGCACAAACCTCTGAGGGTGACTCAGTGACAGTTCATTGCAAATACAAACTCACATTCATAAGTGCTTTGCCATTTATATTATTGCCTGTCTTATCAACTGTCATTGCAGCTACAAGAATCAACAGCACAGGCTACCTATTCTTCGTGCCACACCATGTCAGAAACCTTTCTGAAGGAGAGTTGCTCTTTCCCTAATGCACAGCATAGCCTAACATTCAGTCATCATTCAATATGCAAGTATCACATGTTGGAAAGTCTTCCTACTGTTTTAAAAGTTCACCTTTGTTGAACAACTGCAAAAGTGAAGATTACACAAATAAAAGAAGGCTGCATTTGCTTCTAGGAATAAACAGGGACCAGTTGCTTTTCAAGAAATGACAAATTTGCAGTCAATGAATGATCACTTCACCCAAGTCAGATCTATTGGAACCAGCTGTCAATTAAGTCCTTTCTGGCTTATAGCAGCTGATGCTGTGCCACTGCAGTGTCCATCAGATCACCTCCATGCCTGCTCTAGTTGTACAGGGTGCAAGGATTATGCAGCATTATATCTACATTCAGCCTCAGTCAGCGGGCTGCATAACAGAATCATGAACAGTGGTTGAAGCAGATAGACCTTGTCTCCCAGCAACCATCTTGCAATGAAACAGGAACATGACAGTTCTCAAGGATATAGGCATCATGGCAGCTTTGTGCATTGATGGAATGAAATCATTTCTGTTGAAGAACTCAGTCATGATGTGATATGGTCCTCTCACATGATGAATGGATAGTCCACAGTATCTGACAGCTGGGGGAAGCCAGCGATGTTGGCATTGCCTACAGCCTGGGTTGCAACACGAATCTTGCCAGGGGGAAACAAGATGAAGCGGTGTGATCCAGCACAAATTGCCTTGATACATTTTTGGGTCAAAGATTGGGAGACCCCACACAGATCCCCAGTGGATCCTGGAAAGCAGCTAGTCGCATAAAAATTTAGTGTAGCTGTCTTCTTGATACCCACCCCTTCAGGCCACAGGTGCCACTCCAGCAGTTGGCATAGTTCTGTCAGACATCCTCAATCTGTATCTCACTCATCCCATTGGAAATCACAGAGAGGATAGTAGTCTCTGAACCTCTTGTACATCTTGCACCTCCTGAGGGGGACTAAAACTGTGACATCTTCCTGTGGAGGCTGGTCAGCAGCTGCTGGAGCTTGCTGCTGGTCCTGCCTTGCTGAAGCATTTCTTCCTCATTAATTTCCCTGCACTATCATTGTCCAGCGATAGCTGGGTCTGTTGGTCATGGTTCCAATGTGAAGTAAGTTATCAAAAACGGAACAGGTCCTTGATAATGTGAGCAGTCAGCATTCACATCATATACCACCTGGATCTGGATTTGGGGCTACCAGAAACACTTCAGGCACCCACTCTGAGCTCATCTCGGGAATGGTCACCATCTTTTTTCTCTCCGCTGTGTGGGAGAATAGCAAACTGCATATGAATAAGGTAAGAAGAGATAATAAAGTGATGGGAATACATGCAAGCAGGACACCTTCTTGCTCACTAGCATGACTGTCACCTCACTGTCAAACCATGGGTGGAAAATTGGACTCAGTGTTGAGAACCTTATTTTCTGATCTAACCATATTTTCCCAAGCGAATCATCTATGCCCATGTTGTTTAGGGATGGAAAGATTCTGTCCTTTGTTTCCAAACAGTTGATTCATACTTGGTGGGCTAAAGGATTACAGTTTTGAAATAGTTAAATATTCCTAAGGTTTTAATCCTTCTCATTCCCAAGCTAGATGAGACAAAATCTCCTCTAAGAAGAAGGTTAAGAAATATGATGCCCTGATTTATGCATGACTTGAAAAGTTTTTTCCCTGAAGAATTTCTGTCTTTGTGCACAGCAGCTATAACTGACACAACTTCATAGTGCTCATTGGAGCATTTTAACTATTTTCTATGTAAAATACACAACCATACAGGAGTTGTCCAATAATACCTTGCTAGATATTCTGGATAAACATATTGTAATGGTGTCACATCATTCAGCCTACTTTGAGTGCTATTGCAAAAATATATGTAATGTTGGTAACATAAGTAAATCCAAAATTGAGTTAAATTGTACCAAACGATAAATGGAAAATGCATGGTATAATGCCCTTAATAATCTAATGTAGGGGTTCAGTGGATGTTCATACATTGATGGTTCATGTTGTCAAGTGAATTCTTTCATGTCATCACTCTCTTGTGACCATTTGCAATTAACTATTTTCTCCTCGCAATATCTAAATTGTAAAAGCTGATTTTCTTCAACAAGCTGCAGATTATTTTTCTGTAAATCCCTGATAATGACATCACAGTGCACTTCCCCCTTTAATCCTCTCTAATCCTAGTTTGCTGCAAAAACCCAGCAACACCTCCAAAACTATTACAGGTGCTGCCAGGAAATAGTATTTTTATCCACCAATATGAGAAATACAACACGTTCAATTAAAGTTCCCAGCTGCCAATTGGAAACTTGCATGCAGCTTTACTGCTTGAAGCAACAAGGCTGAAAAATATTGAGTGCCATAAACAAAATGCACCCTCACAAAATGGAACAGGAAGTACCAGAGCATAATCAGATGTTAATCTTCATGTGACAATTATATAATAGTGTCTGAAACTGTTAGTAAATCTATGGACTTTGCATATCCATTATTCCATGTTGATCCATGTAAGAAGTTGAGGAAATAATGAATGTGACTTAATGCCAAAATGAAAAGAAACAAAGTTTAATTGAGGTGATGTTGCATTCTAGCATGTTGTACCATGCAGTGATTGGTCTTAAGTTCAAAACAGCATTCTAATCTTGATCTGAGTGGAGCAGAGATGGATTCAAGATGCTATTAAGCTTTGAGCAGCTGCTAAAACCCTATCCTGCATTCTTAGTGTTGATATCAAGAATGCAGTCAATTTTGTTGTACTTTCAAGTGCTGTGTTTGATACTTCTTTCTCCATGTTCCTGGCTGTTGCCTCCCCTGGAGATTTGCAAGGAGTGTACTTGCTTACCAAGTATAATGGTTAAATTTATGATCTGTCCAAACAGAAAATGGAGATAAAGAAAGCAGCTTCCACTTCATGAAATGCATGGAGTAACATTAAGCTTACACTTGGGACCAAGATGCTGGTTTATGAGGCATGTATTCTCAGTGCGATGTTGTATAGTTGCACAGTGTGGATGACTTTACACTTAACAAGAAAGGAAGCATGAATATTTTTATATAAAACTGCAGCGCATTCTCTGCATTCCATAGGAGAAGGAAATCACAAAGACAACAGTCTGCTTAAAAGAAAGTTTCCTAGGTGTGGTAACACTCTTCAAGCAGAGGTGAATTCACTGGCTTAACATATTTGCAGGTTGGGAGGCAGACACATTCCCAAGGATATTATGGATAACAAGATAGAACCAAAGGATGAGTAGGAAATCCAAATCTCCACTGCAAGAAACCTTACCACCCTCAACTAAACAGTCCAAACATTGATGTTCATATGTGTTAGAGACTAGCTAATACCAATTGGAAATTGCGACATTACCTATGGGGCAGTGTGCATTATCAAGATGATTGATAGCTACAGCAGCTTGACAAAAGATGCCCACATCAAAAATGATACGCCGCAACAACGTCCAACAACGATATTACATGTGACATTTGTAGCAGAACCTGCCTGTCTGGTTTGGTCTTTCTAGCCATTAGCAGTCATACACCAATGCAATGTTGGCATTTGTTTTGAGAGGACTTGAATATAAAAGCAGGGATGTACCACTGGGGCTTTATAAGGCTCTGGTCAGGCCACATTTGGAGTATTGAGTGTAGTTTTGGGCCCCATATCTCAGGAATGATGTACTGGCCCTGGAGCAGGTTGAGAGGAAGTTCACGAGAATGGTCCCAGGAATGAAAAGCTTAACATATGAGGAACGTTTGAGGACTCTGGGACTATACTCATTGAAGTTTAGGAGGATGAGGGGGGATCTAATTGAAACTTACAGAATACTGAATGGCCTGAACAGAGTGGATGTTGGGAGGATGCTTCCACTGGTAGAAGAGACTAGGACCCGAGGGCACAGCCTTAGAGTAAAGGGAAGACCTTTTAGAACGGAGATAAGGAGAAACTTCTTCAGCCAGAGAGTGGTGAATCTATGGAATTCACTGCCACAGAAGGCTGTGGAGGCCAGGTCAGTGAGTACATTTAAGACTGAGATAGATAGGTTCTTGATTATCAAGGGGGTCAAGGGTTATGGGGAGAAAACGGGAGAATGAGGTTGAAGAACTTATCAGCCATGATTGAGTGGCGGAGCAGACTCGATGGGCTGAATGGCCTAATTTCTGCTCCTATGTCTTATGGTCTTATATGAGGCTTCTAATTCAGCAATGGATTTGCTGCATGTCCCTCACCCCATATAAATGGAAAGATGCTGATGGCAGCAATAGCGACAATGTAGGAGTCCCATTTACAATGCTTTGAAGCTCTGCCTCTGAGTGACCATCTCATAACACTTAGGCATGACACCACATGCAGTTTGGGCAAGGTTATGAGGTAGGAGGCTAGGGACTATGCTTACAGGGAGTATGGATGTTGAATTGGCATCACAGTTTGGCAACATTAGCTCTTATCTATGATTCTTTCCAGCATAGCTCCCTAGTGGCAGCACAAGATCAATCAATGTTTCCATTTCAATTCCACTGCACTATTTATTCGAGTTTGAAAAGTATTCTCAAGATAATTAGAATTTTTGGACTCTTACACACTGAGGTACCTTTTTAAGTTTTAAAAATGTTCTCACTTACACTGTGAGTCATTGAAATCTATTACCATACACACGGATAACACTGTCTTAGTGAATGAAATGCAAGTCTAAGTTCATACCTGCTACTCCAACAGCTTTTCCCCAGGGCCTCAGCACTGAAACTTCCTAGTCTCCTTCAACCTTATTGTTGTAAACCACCAAGATTAAGCCTCGGTTAATATCTATTTTCTGATTTATCTTGCCGTTTCCTTCAATATGTCCAATGTTGATGATTTGCAGGTCATATGTTTGACGCTTCACCTACGTTTCTCAAGAATAAAAATGCACAAATAAGCAAGTGATCAAGAGCAGCATTGGGAGCAGGATATCCAGCTGCTCTTTTTGGTCAAAATTGGTATGTAGCCTGTGGCATCTACAGAAGAAGAGAAAATAAACCTCATGTCAAAAATAAACTGATAACGTCACGTAAACGGAATCCTGAATTGTTCCCTTTAACATGATACAATTAATAAACTGTTAACTAAAACCATTGTTTTGTCATAGTATTTTAATTGGATTTACTTCACTTAAAATTATTCTACTTTTAAAAAGAAATAAGCAATTTGGAGAAAAATGTAGCTGAAGATATTCAGTTCATAACTGTTCTGTTTCATTCATTTTACCGAGCAAGATTAAAGTCATCACATTAACTGACACACTTTACAGCAAAAGGGAAGGTGATTTATTTGTTGTAACATTTATTCAAGGGAATGTGCATTTACATAAAATATGTGATCAATTGACACATTAAAGGGGTATAAATGTATGTTTAATTTAAGTGTACAATTAAAAAATAGATGTAAAGAACCTAGATATGTCAAAATCATTATTGTAAAAGGAAGAATAAAATGTCAATCACATTAGGAAAGCTTTTCCTTAACAAGAGATGGATCACACTAAAAGCTCTACAGGAATATCTGAAGTTTTTTTTAATGTAAGGCTCCTCAGGTCCCTGCCCTGGTAGCAACATTTTAGAGCTGATCCATAGAATTAATATATAACCCGGTATATCATACATGAATGTAACCATTACTGCTTTGCCAGCTAAAAGTGCAGAATGTGTTCCCAACAACTCGTGTTACTCAGTACTATAATTAGTCATCACACCATTCTATTGGTAAATCCACCAAATAGCTCTTTATAAACTAACAAGAATTGACTCATTTACAAAACTATTTCCTCTGGTTTATGGAAAATATTTGTGGGAAAAAGGCCAGAGAAAAATCATTTACCAGAACAAAGTAAATTAATGGGTTCTCAACATCACAAATGTGCTTCAAGTTCCAACATTTAGTGAGAAAATGAAGTAAAGTTCTAACTAAATACTGAACCATTGCAAACATGTGAATTAAGAACAGTATAAAATGGAATTACCCATGTGCTTTTTGTCATGGCAGCAATACATCATTTAGTCACATCAACTTGGTTCTTTAATCTTTTTAAAGTTTTGGGTTGGAGAGGTATAAGCTCAAATTTTGCCAGCTTGAGCTTGATTGGCTACAGTTTGCTACTCTAATATGGCTCATGGATTATTCTGTTTTTAACCACTGTGTTTTTATATAAAATTTGCCACTTCTTCAAAACAATCATGTACTTAGTCACTTTTTGGCATTAGATTTACAGTATTTCAGTGTGATTTAGATAAAAGACTTAGTCACAAGTATGAATGGCGTGGTTTATGGCCATGAACAAATTCCATGGTCCAGAAGCTGGCACTATTTTGTTTGAGATAACAAGGTGTAGAGCTGGAGGAACACAGCAGGCCAAGCA